ACAGACAGACAGACAGAACTGGCGACAGGATCACTGGGCAGACAGACGAGAACAGACAGACCTCACGTCCACTGGCAGACAGACAGACCAGACAGACAGGACTGTGCAGACAGACAGACAACAGACTGGCAGACAGACAGACAGACAGACTGCAGACAGACAGACAGACAGACAGATGGCAGACAGGGAACTGCAGACAGACAGACGACAGACAGACAGACTGGCAGACAGACAGACAGACAGGACAGACAGACTGGCAGACAGACAGACAGACTGGCAGACAGACAGACGACAGGGGACAGACTGGCAGGACAGACAGAACCCAGACTGGGCAGAACAGGCAGGAAGACTGGCAGACGACAGACAGACTTTGCAGGCAGACCAGGACAGGGACTGGAGGCAAGGCAGACAGGCAGACAGACAGACTGGCAGACAGACAGAACAGACTGGCAGACAGAAAGACAGGACTGGCAGACAGACAGACAGACTGGCAGACAGACAGACAGGGACATGGCAGACAGACAGAGACAGGTACTGCAGACAGACAGCAGTATTGGCAGACAGACAGACAGGACTGGCAGACAGAACAGACGAACTGGCCAGGACGAGACAAGACAGTAACTGGAGACAGACAGACAGACTGGCAGAACAGTACAGACAGACATGGCCAGACAGACAGACAGGACTGCAGGACAGACAGACAGACTGCAGACAGACAGACAGACTGGCAGACAGACAGACATGACTGTCCAGACAGACAGACAGATGGCATGACAGGAACAGACAGACTGGCAGACAAGGGGGACCAGACAGACTGGCAGACAGGACAGACAGATGGCAGACAGACAGACAGATTGGCATGACAGACAGGGACAGACTGGCAGACAGATAGACAGACAGGACTGGCAGACAGGGACAGACACGACAGACTGGCAACAGACAGACAGACTGGCAACAGACAGGACAGACTGGCAGACAGACAGACAGACTGGGCAGACAGACAGGACAGACTGGCAGACAGGACAGACGACTGGCAGAGCAGACAGACAGGACTGGGGCAGACAGACAGACTGGCAGACAGACAGACCGGCAGACAGACAGACCGGCAGACAGACCAGACCGGCAGACAGGACAGACCGCAGACAGACAGACCGGCAGACAGACAGCCGGCAGAACAGACAGACACGGCAGACAGACAGACCGGCGACAGACAGGGACCGGGCAGACAGACAGACCGGCAGACAGACAGACCGGCAGACAGAGACCGGCAGACAGACAGACCGGCGACAGGACAGACCGGCAGACAGACGACCCGGCAACAGACAGACCGGCAGACAGACAGGACCGGAGACAGACAGACCCGCAGACAGACAGAACCGGCAGACAGACAGGACCGGCAGACAGACAGACTGGCAGACAGACAGACTGCGACAGACAGACTGGCAACAGACAGACTGGCAGACAAGACAGATGGCAGACAGACAGAACTGGCAGACAGACAGACTGGCAGACAGACAGACTGCAGACAGACAGATGCAAAGACAGATGGCAGACAGAACGTACTGGCAGACGAAGACGCAGACAGAGGACTGGCAGACCAGACAGACTGGCAAGACAGACAGACTGGCAGACAGACGACCTGAGGCAGAATGGCAGACAGACAGCTGGCAGACAGACAGATCAGACAGCAGAACTCAGACATACACAACCAGCACACCCCCAGCCCAGGCAAACCAATCTCTAATTTATGCCATGAATTTGCATACAACCCTCGCCACGCCCACGTTCTTACCACATATTGGAGAAGACTATTGCATTTTCAACTTGGACGTATAAGATACAGCACCCAAACTTCCAAACAAGAGTTTGACGACTAAAATTCGAGATCGAGTTGTGGAAGTGATTCCATTACTTTTCCTTTCTGCTTCTTTGTATAAGGGAGATGAAGGAATATATAAGAATGTGGTATACAGTAAGAATTAAAATAGTATAGAAAGAAATTAAAAAAATTAAATATCAAAAAAGACAAGAGTACCAACCAGAAGGCTGCTGTGGCGAGCCTCACCTGAAGCGCGAGGCGGCGGTGGGCGGGCCCCGCCCGCCCGCCGGGCTACTTGGTCCGCGTCGCGGCGCCGCCCTGGCCGCCGCCGGCAGCCGCCGCCGCCGCGGGCGAGATGGCGTCGCGGTAATGAACTCGATGCTCTGCTGCAGCGCACGGGCGCGCTTACGCAGCCGAGTCGCGGATCTCCACGCCCAGCGTCACGCCTTGAGCAGGATGTTAGGGGTCTGGCGTTGATGCGGGTCCAGGGTCGAGAAGTGGACCCGGACGCGCTGGATGCCGTACATCTCGCGCACCTCCGCGCACACCACGTGTTGGCGCGCGCTTCTGCTTGGGCTGGTGGTGAATGGAGAAGAGCGCGCCGATGAGGAAGTCGCCCGGCAGCAGCGCCGAGATGCGCTCCTGCGTCTCCGAGGAGGAGCTCTCCGAAGAGGGTGACGACGTCGACGGAGGGGCCGCCGCTGCCGCCACGCCAGCAGAAGCACTCCGCACCTGGGCAACAAAATGCGCATTACGCACGGATGCGACTCCGATGTCGATGCTTTTGCAGAAACATCGATGTTTTAAACATCGATATTTCGAGATCGATGTTTTTTAACATCGATATTTCGAGATCGATGTTTTTTAACATCGATATTTCGAGATCGACAGACAGATTGGCAGACTATGTCTGAATGAAAAATTACCATAATCACTATACTATAAAAGTTAAAATACGAAATAATAATTGATGGTAACACTGCAGTTCATGTGTTGGAACCAAAGGGAAGCTATTTGTACTACTTTTATCGACCAACTCTCTCGCGCGCGATGACATCCATGCCATTGCATTTCCTCTATCTTCATATTCATTTCGCACAATGAGATGTAGGGAACAAATACGCCGAGGATGTCGGATGTTTGCCAAGATCTGCTTTGTTATCGATGTCTCATCTCTAGAATGAAAGCATATTACCTTAAGATTTAATAGTGTTTCCGGGCGAGACAACGACTAAGGTCATTAGTCCGATAAGTGTAGCGCATGTTTTTTCTACTCTTTGACTACCCATACAAACTGGGGAGAAACTGTCACAGGGGCTCTTAACTCCTAAAGGCTGTCCGAAAAGTTTACTGTCTCGGTATCTGAAGTGTTTACTGTCACTGAACCAAGAAATCTGACTTCGATTTCCGGCAGAAGCAATCAATTCTTCGAACAATCAATTATTATTTATTGTTGGCATTATTGTTATTATTACTGTTACATAAAAGTAATGTTTCTACAAATTCTTCTCTCCAAAACATGCTCCCTATTCTTTGGTTCTGGGAATGGTCTATGAGATTATGTGGTTTTCAGGAAGGAAGGAGGAAAGGTGAAGGAAGCCAATGTGGTTTGACCACATTTTCCTTTGACGTGCGAGAGTTCTACAAACACTGCAACCAAAGATGTATGTCAGGAAAATTCTTCTTTAAAACGTTTTCTTCTAGTCTTTAAAACAGTGAAAATCTTGTCCACTAAAAATTTAACATCTAAAATTTTGTCTTAGAAAAATATTAATTGTCTACCTGAACCGAAATTTACGTAATGCTAGATGTAATGCAAACAATTGTAAAAACCTCATTGTCTAATCAGTTGTTAGATTCATAATCAATTTCAAGTACATAATTATCAAAACGTGTTCTATGTTTTTTTACATTGCATACATGAAATAATCACATTGCATTAACCAGACCGAATTATGATACGAATGCTGTCGGAATTTTCAATTTGACCAATTTCAAATTATAGTAGAAGCGCACATATCCGGCGTCGATTATTCGCGAAAACAATAATCCGAGGCGAATGGTACAGAAAACTTCAGTGGACCAAATTAAACATAAGTGCAACTTATATATTCAAACTGAAAAAAATAATCAGTTGGAAAAAATAATAATTATATCAATGATTTTACTTTCTCGCATTCAACTTAACTTATTAAATAAACAGTATTGTAATACTGTAGCATTTTGTATTGTAATACTGTAGCAAAAAGAGGTAACTTTGCTTCAAAAAAAACTTCAGTTGGTCCCTGATATCCACAAAAAGTTAATACGTCTTGGTTCTAGAAATATTTAATTCCTTTTAATGCGTTGGATGGTCAAACTTTTTTGCTTTCTGGGACCTGGATATCGAAATTTTTATTTACAAGAAAACGTTAGTCACTTTATCTGCGTGAAAACAACGCTATCGGCTGAATCGTTGGCAGGAATTTTACAAAAAATGATATATATCAATCAATCGATGTTAATTAAATTGTTAAATGTTTTTCTCTGACAGAGCAAAGTTTGACTATAAAAAAGTGGATTACTCTATTTTTGTTGAACTTTCTCATTCTTTTTTAAATTGTGAAAGACTAACTTTTTTTTGGCGTCTTCCTACATTAAAATATTGAAGTTACGGCATTAACGAAATCTGTTATTGATAAATAATGTAAAGCACAAATTTTTGGAAGTATCAGTAGTGTTCGTGTTATTTGGAGTGATAAGTGTAGCAACAATTAAAAATTATTAAACAAAACTTTCTCAAATCTGCAAAACTTTTTCTATTTATTTACTCGAAGTCATTTGCCTTAAAACTGAATTTTCGAAAATTAAAGATGTTCAACTTTTTTTAAACATCGAGAATATTGTTATGCCAACTCACTGATTGGGAAAATGGTTTTGCTACCTGCTTGCCAAACCAAAGTTCAAGAGTTCGGAATCCAAAGTAGTGAATATTTTTGCAGTTGGAAACACTTCTGAGGGTTTCAGAAAAATTGTAATATTACGCAAGTGGCACAAATAATGCGAAAAATTATGTGGTATCGCAGCATCTCTAGTTTTTAATTTTGAAGAACACCGTAAATACTTTTAAATCCCATCAACAGATTTAGCGAATTTTACTGAAATAAAGTCCCTAGTCGGATTTTAAATTATGACTTTTATAACAATAAAAACCTTAAAGTTACGGCACAAGAGTAGCGGAGGGAGGCAGTTTAATTTTAACGTAAATACAAGTTATGGAGAGTTATATAATTGTAGTTATGAAGAGATCGCTCATATTTTAAGGTAAAATTCATCGATATTGAAAATTGTGGTAATGATTATCTAAACTAAAACTATTTCTTCTATCCGTCATTTGTAAATTTCCATGGACTTTTTTATTGCTTGCTTAATATGACCCAAGATAATAAAAGTTTTATTGAATGTCACTTTGCATTTTTTAATGAATTTTCCACATGGCATACTTCAATTTTGATTGATCCTCTTAAATATTACGTTTTCATACGACACTGCATTTTCATTGATTGATTCCGTGTATTCATATTCTTGTGGGTTAAAAAATGTTTATGCATATTTTTAATATAATTCATAGTGTGGTAGTGGATATATCTGCAGGCTGTGAGAGTTTATTAAATATCGATTTGAAAGGAAAGGTTTTGACGGATATTCTGGACAAGCCATTTTTCATTTATATTTACAGGAACACTGTATCCTCCAATATTTTTCTTTAAAATTACATTTCTACTCCCTTGGTAGATATAAAGGATGTACTATTTAAAACTGGTTTGGGGAATATCTCGAAAAATGCACATCGGATCAAGGAAAATGGATGATGAAATTTGTTCGTAACGATGGGGTCCATCTAACGACACCAATATCGAACCCCACCCCTACCTCCCGATGGGCAAAAATAATGGTCAGGATGGGCAAAAATAAAATAGTTGTGTGGGTAAAAAATGCTTTTATAGCAGATTCCGATTCGCCGGGAAAAATACGTACACTACGTACGTAAATATTCTACTAAGCGTTTGTTCCGCAAAGCGAAAATTTGTTTCTCGCACTTAATTTTACATTGTACACGTCTATGGTGGCTGGGTAGAACACGTGAGAGGGATAGCAAGGGCACTCACCTGCAGAGCGACCGCCAGAAGCAGAAGCAGCAGCAGCAGCGCAGCCGCGGACCGAGGCACGGGCGTCGTCCCCCGCGTCATGACGTCACCGCCACCGCCGCCATCGCCGCACGCGCCGCGCCGCTCCTCTTCCTGTTCCTCCGTCTCCGCTCGCGCCCGCGACGGCCGCGTGCACACTGGTATGCGGATCGCCGACAGACACACACGCATGCACCGCACCGCACTGAATACGCCGCTTGTTACGCTTCGAACACTTCCAAATCTATATATTTTTGGGCGTACACACTAACACTCGAGTTGTGAACTACCGTGATTCTTGTAGCACTTTGGTCGATCTTAGGAAAATATCACTAGGTTCGCGAACTAATGCAATTCGAGTTACACTTCGATCGAACTTGCACCCCACGTATTTGGAGATTGAACGAATACGACAAATCAACTGTGCGCACTGCGTTGAGCAATAAACATTTGTAAAATAATGATTTATACCGACATGTTGAGACAGAAGGTGATGAATGATTATTTATGATTCCACTGATACGTAATTCCTGAACACAGATCCCTTCACGCAAGTAGAGTTTTGGATATTCGATAAGCAAGATTTGCATACAATTTGCACACGCGATGTGTATACCTCCCACCTTGCTCACCAACTGACTGCTTCTCCTAGATGAATTACACTCTAAGCACAATCTCTTGATCTTTGGTTGCTGCTTTTGATTCCCGTGAAATGCACTGACTGGGAAAGCACACGCTGGTACTTCCTGTACCCTAACCACACAGCTCTGAGTCACTTCTCAATAATTTGATGAGTAGGCAATAACTTCCGTTGATTAGAAAAAAATATTGGCAGGTAAAATAAACCCACTCTTTTTTACTCTTTATTTTAAAACTTTGGCATTAAAACTGATATTTGGCAATTAAATCGCGGCTCACAAGGATGTAAACTTGATAACAATTCACTAAATGTTCTTACTTTCTTTCAGGAGATCTTCACACTTCCGTTTCTCGCGATAAACTTTATCCTCTTACGCAACACAGGAAGACTCTTAGATTAGTGAACACATGACGAGATCTTACATCTAGTACAATGAACGTTGGCTATGTCTTCTTACCCGTAGTCAAGGACTAGATAACTGAAAACAATATGGGGGAGAATATTTTTCAATCGTTCTCGACTCTTTCAAACATTCCAGCTGGATACGGGACATAATACCCACAGCTCTTGATTGATTTTGTTACTTGCAACCGACGAGACGTGTCGAAAATGTTTTTTTCTGTTTCGAATTAAACCTTGTATTTAGTAGACCTTCAGAATGTTTCTCACTTGTAATCAAAACGCTCTCTACTGTTCTTCCCCTAATGACTTGAGCGAGAGGATACACTAAAAATGCACATTCGCGCACATAACCACAAACAAATGCATATCCTCTTATAGCGTCATGTGGCCTTTGAATCTTCCTAGAACCAGACACACCCACCAGACACTTCAGTGCACGCTGGGAACTTTAAAAACTCGATCGTCTTTCGCAAAATTGCGTTGTGTCAGACCCCTTTTCCACGAGCCATGAAGTTTATGAAGGCGCCTGAAGGAAGTAAGTGGAATACTTCGCTAACTTTTATTTAAATTGTTCACAGCTGCGCTTTTCTTTCCGTCTTCTCAGACGTCGTTTGAGGGTGGCTGCATTTGCCTGGAACACTACACAAAGCGTGAAGATGTCTGTGTCAGGCTTTTACAGCGTACTTCGGCACCGCAGAATCGCATTCGTGAAATTATTTCATTTTCTCTTTGAACCTTTTTTACCTTTGACGTTTTTCTTTCACCGTTGCGTCCACCATTTCAACAACCCATGGTGACATTTGTCAATACACCACAGCCATTCCCATCGCCCCTCGTTATTTGAATCTCCCTTCCTGTGTTTTCTCTCGGTAACGTATGTGCCCAAAGCAATAAAATGTATCGGGTACCTAACTTTGGACTAAGGCACACTAAGCTACACTGGCGTACATCTCATAACCTAAAAAATAGGGTATATTTCCGTAATATAAAAGTGACGTAAGAAATTATGTTATCTTATTTTTCACTAATAAACGTTTCACACGTCACAACGGGAAATTTGCCGTCACGATCACGACGCACGTCATTTCGCTCTAAATACTTAAATGCAGTCGCAGACACAGTCACGAACTATCACAGTTGGAACAAAGCAGCGTCATCCCCAACCCCAGCTGTGGTCACCTCACAATACGCGAAACCGTGAGCAATTTCATTCACACTGTCATGCAACGACCCAACGAACTTGAGCACGATCACTCGACACAGCACAGATGGATCGCCACGTCACGTACGACGTAGATTTCCCATTCACGACATCCAAGTGTAGAAGTAGAGTCACTGTCACGATCACGAACCGCACGGCCGCGCCGCCGCGTCACCCGCGCGTAGCCCCTTCACCGCGGCGCAAGCGAACGCGCGTCCCACGCGACCGCACGCGCGCGTCGCACTGGCGAGCGGCTAGCGCGCCGCGGCGTGCGCCTATCGGCCGGCCGTCACAACCGCTCCCGCTCCCACCACCACCACCGCCGCCGCCGCCACCGCCGTCGCCGCCGCGCCGTGCCGCCGCCACCGCCGTCGCCTCCGCTGCTCGGTCGCGGGCCACACAAGCGGACATTTCCGGACTCCCTCCGCAATCCGCAGCCCCGCCGCGCGAAGCGCTTATAAAACTAGCGGCGCTAAGCAGGAAATCACGATCAACGCGCGCAGCCCTGCGGTTGGAGCGGTGGCGTCGCCTGGCGGTCGGCCGCACTGGTCTGGGAACCGGACCGGAGGCTGGTGTTCCCAGCGCCTCCGCCCCCGCCTTCGCCGAAAGCGCGCCAAGGTTGCGTCCCCCGGGCGGGTCGTTCACGGCGGCCACGCGACGGGATGGGGCTGACGCAGGGGATGCTGCTGCTGACGTTGCGGGGAAATCTGGAAGAAGGAGAACAATAAGGTTATTATACACAAGAGGGATTTTATTGTCAAATATAAACTTCGTTCCACAATAATAAGGGCTCGGTAGAACAAGGGGATATCCCACATTAACCTTGTTCTGAAACAGTGAGGGTTTTACTAGAAGTTTCATAATAAAACTCGCTACATTTTTAAACTTTTAAAAACAGTTTATTTGCAAACAATCACATTAGATTTAAATAACACATTAAAATAACTTCAAATATTATTCTTTTAGTGTAATGTTAAAAATTCAATTTCACAAATATGTGTGATAGCCCCTTGATATGTTATCAGAAATAAATAAAAGGGGTATTTTCATGCACTGTAATAGTTTTAGAAATATTGTTTTTTGTTTCAAATTAATAAAAACATACTACTGTTCATACATCACTGCTTAAATTAATTTTAAACCAAATACACAAAACTATTAACACGGGATATTTCCTTCATTTTAATAAGGCTATTGGTAATTTGGTTTACTTGGATTCAATTTAGTAAAAACGTGATGAACTGATGCTAGTTGGTATTGTTTTATTTCTTCTAATGTTATGCGTTCGATTAATTCCGAGAGACATAGTATTTAAAAGTTAGTTTTGCAAATAAATTCATTTGATATTTTATTACATATATTAATAAAAGATACAAGCAATAGTACCCCACGATCACTACCTGTCGTACACAAATAAGATGTGCATGCGTAAGATGTTAGAAACGATTATCTCCAGTGCACATGAAACTCGTGCTCGCCATTGGTCACGAATTAAACGTGCCTCCAAGGATAACGCCATTCTCAACATCAACACTTTTTCAACACATATTCCAGGATATTATCGAATGTTGGATTTTGCCGACAAATTCTCAGAATAGATTTCTATAGGAAAAATAAACAAAAGTCAAGTAAACCAGAAATATCACTAGTATCTAATATTAATATATTTAATAAAGTATCAAATTTCATATAAATGCTCTAAAATCATACTGGTATACTTGCAAGTTATAAAACGGAATCACAGAATTTCCTTTCAGTTAACCAATCATATTATGACATATTTACGAAAGGAAAAATTACAATGATAGACTTGAATGTGCGTGCATCAATCGCTGAAGAAAATCACAGTGCCATTCCGTCATAATAGAATAACATTTTAATGGGAAAACAATTTTTAACTTGGGTTTATCGATTCGGTAAAAGGAATCGGAAACAGAAGCAAAACTTCTAGTAATATAGTATCGGAACATTAAATATTCCGTCAATGAGAGGAATACATGTTACAAATTTAGAAGGCCAAAATCCACTGACAAGTTTCTCCACCACAAGTTTCTTATGAATTCAAATGCATCTACTTGAATTAACATAATTGCGTATAAACATTCACAGAGCAACGCTCTCGCAAAACTCTTGGAGCAGACACAATTGTGGAAAACTAGCTAAAAGCGAGACTGTGCAGGTTGTTTTACGAGCTGTTTTCTTTATAAGTGTGTCGGATTTTTTGCGGTTGCCCAGTTAGCCCAAACCGTGCAACGCTTCGTACGCATACAGGTAATGTTGTCCAATTAAGTTTCTATTAGAGTATGACTTGGCCATTTCGTTTTCAAGCTCTGTGAAACGAGACGGGAACGTACCTGTGTGTATTTTTTCTTTTATACAAATTTCTTTCGTAAAAGAGCGTTTTTCAGGTCCAAGGTTATTTTCTAAAAATCGCGGATAACAGGGGACAGAGCTTCCCCGTTGGCTTGGATTTGCCCAAACGAAGCGAATCAACTTGTTTGTGAAAACTAACTCGACTTATAAATTAGTGCAAAATTATTTTTTAAATAATATTAGGATTATCATAGTTGATGGAAATAAAACCCACATCCGATGTCATTCTTCCAGCAGACAGCGTTCCGCTGCACGGCTGATTTAGACTCGAATGGGTTAACCTTTAAAGACGATGTGAAGACTAAGATTGAAATTTTGTGGGTTCATTATTATCAAAATTATGAAGGAAATCATTGTTGACAAAATAATTTTTGTTATACATACTTTATAATAGTATAGCAAACGCCGATATTACATCAAAGCATTGCATTGGCATGCTGGTCATTATTTCGACGTATTTTTGCCGTATCTTCGAAGATATCCAACTAATTTCACAGTTAAAGAAACACATATAATTGGAATAAAAAATAAATTTATTTAAATTGTTATTATTTTATGTTATGAATAATACAAGTCATTTTTAATGCCACAATTCTTTATTATACATACACTGAAATAAGCGCACGGATGCTATATATCAAGGAATTTCAGCAAATCAGAATTCCCTTACCCATGTGTCTTTGTGTCGTTCTTTCAATTCTCTAGGTTGATTCAAGAATAAAATAAGAATACTAATCTAATAGACTGGGAGGTCCCTTAGGTTTTTTATCTCTCACAATAAAGCCTAGCGATTTCCTGGCTATCAAAACGAATTTATATCGAATCCAAAACAGTGAGTTTGAAGTGTGTTTCAATAGCTTCAAAAGTTAGTGAAACAACACAAAAATCGAAAGGTCGAACGCATCACGAGATTGACTCATCTCGTGCCTTTAAGACGGGGAAAACCAAGAAAGAGATGACTAGATGGTGTATGAAAAAATAGGTATATTGTTACGGTATTTCCATTATAAAAGTAATGAAAGAGATCCTGGGGAGGAGGAAATAAAATGAAAGTTTGGGGTATTCGATCAAACCAAAGTTGATTCAGTTGTGGAGATCCCCCTTCCAAAAGATCAAAAGCCTGTTTTTATTTACTTATTGATACTCAAATCAATAAATCACATTACAATACCTTTCATATTGATAATGTTAGCTTAAAATGTATTTCCCTTACTTGTTTTATACAGAAGTTATAAATAACTCATCTCGACAACCGAAAAGTTGTCATCAACGTGAACGAATCTTCATTTGAATGGTTTGTTGGATGTTTTAGTCCATACATTTGACAATTGGACGACCGTCTACAACTCCAAGAGATGACGTCATCAACTTCCGCCCCTGCGTCTACGCCCCCCTCCCCTCCTCTCCCGCAGCTCTGCCACACGGGGAAGACGCGGTGACCACGAAGGCTTCTCGGCGCCGCCTCAGCGCCCTCTGTCAAGCGCACGGCGCAGCGCAGGAACACAAAGCGGCCACTCACCTTCACGCAATACCCACTCAAGGCTCCCTCAGATATAAAACGCCGCAATATAAAACACTGAACATAAAATCCCGAATTTGTTACATTTCGCTGGTACACTTGCACTGAAATATCATTTTACTCGTTTTCAACATGAATAAGTATATTTCTGCGGATTATAATTGGATATTGTTTACATATTAATATGGCGTACATACGTCACTATATCTAAGTTCAAAAACTGATCAACGTACGGCAACCTGGGTATAGAAATAACTTCTACACTCATTAACTTACTTACAAGGGCGTGTTTCGTAACATTGTGATGATCAAATTTCGTTCCAACAAAAATTAATCTATCTTTCGTACTTAAAATATCCTGATGATATTATCAATCACTTCAAGAGCTTCTTGCAGAATGAGCTCTCACATTTGTTCATCAACAGTTAAAGTTTATTCAATGCTTTGCTTTTTTCTAGTTTGGGCTTGAATTCTTGTCAACGGAATATTTAATCAGTGTACAAATTGTAAATTCATGTCCCTTTAAGTAACTACGTGCTTTACATACTGCAGCAATTTTTTCAGAATGTTACAGTTCCGTGAATTAGAAAAAATGACACCACTTTTGTTTTGTATATTATTAAACAAGAAAACGTTCAGTGTTTTAAATAATCCTTTTTCGAGAAAATTGTGTATTTAAGTGATAAAGCTTTAAAAATTGATTTTTTATTAATAAACACGTTCGTGATTGATACACGCGATTGATTTTACATTATTCAACTATTCGATCTTTTCAGGTGCTACAAAAACATATTACACAACATTAACAGAAAAAATAATAGCACCGCGTAGTATCGAAGAGCGAAATTCAATCGAGCTTCTCCACATGATTCAGTGTCTTAGGTTATATTAATATGATGAGTAAGAAAGGAGTAGAGAGACTACCTACTTTTAAGTCCCATGGTTCGAGAAAACAAAATTAAATATGTTAAAAAAATTGTTACCCCGGTCGTGAATCGAACCGAAGTCCCTTTAAAATTTATATTCGAATCGGGTGTTTAATTAACGTGTTTTCTAACACTTGATGATCCATCGCAAGCCAAAATGTCTGCAAAAACATCTTACTTAACGACTTGTGATTATTTTGCGACCAAAAAGTCAAAAATTAACTTATTCGCTAGAAAGTGTCTTTAAACAAGGAAAAATAGATCCTCCAGACAAGTACTGCAGTTTACACTGAAAGTTGCCTCCTTGCTTTTCAGAAAATGCTTCTCTCTTTCCATCAAATGCTTCTTTCTTTTCTTATTCTTTAATTTCTCCATCGACTTGATCCTATCCATCAACATCTCCACCTTCAAAAATAATCTTACACTTTTCGTTCATTTTCTCCTTCCTCGAGGCCGTTATTGCTCAGCAGACGACCTCTTTCTTACTGTTCCTCGCTCTGACCTTGCCTGCTACCCACA